CTGTCAGTGCCATACTGTCTTAAATGTTCATGTACATGTATTCAGTAGCATAAAGGTTTATAATATGACACTAGGCCAACGTACCGTCAAATTTTAATCAAAAGCGTGGGTGGTTTGACCTTTTTATGCTAGAGTTGAACTAAATTCAACTCCTGTGTCAATGAAACGTCAGGACTAGCGTAACATTGTAATCCGGCTTTAATCAATACATGTACATATACTCTTTAATATCTTCCTTTCTCCTCTCTGTCTCTCTCCTAGCAATATTTTCAGTTGAAGTTGCTGCTTTTCTTCCATATTTATTAATATACACTGGGTTGGATAGAGCTGTACTGTCAGTGTTATGTCAATCAATTGTTTTATTAATAATATCACAAGCACCAAAGAGACTACTGTGGAGGTTCAGGCCATACATGATCAACAGGGCTAAGATAGTACGTAATGAAATTAAATATTTATTAAGTAATGTAATGATTAACTATTATGTCTAGTAATGGTTTAGTATTAGCATCTTAAGCAAGAGATTTTACAGTATAGAAGGAAATTTTGGAGGAGCTAAATTTGGCGAATTTGTGGCCACATGCCATTGAGCATGCGCATAATGGCTCGAAATGACAGATTATTTTTATTTTGGTGAATGGCTATCAAAACGCTCAGTATTAATGTACACTGTATATTGAGGGGTTCGGTCTACTAACTTTAGCTGATATTAATCAGAGGCGTATTTAGGGGGGGGCTGAGGGGGCTTGAGCACCCCCCTCAGGGCTGGGCTCAGAAAAAATTACTGAACTCCTGGACTCTTGCATCACTACCAAGCCTCTTAACAAAGTTATCTAGCCCCCTGATCATGATTTCAGCAGATTCCAGTGCTTTAAGGAGCAATCAGAAGTACCAGTAACATAGCAGTATGCTTGAAATGATCTTGGCCCCACCCGTAATTGACGAAAATGCAGGAAAAGGCCATTTAACCGCCGTAAAAATGGGTGTGGCCAAAATCGCGGCGCGCTTCGCGCGCCCTCAGCACCCTCCTCCTTCAAATCCTAGATACGCCCCTGTTAATAGTCATTAATGTGTACATGTACAAGTAAATTTAGCATTTATTGTATAGAAGGAAATTTTAGAGGTAGTTAAATTTGGCAAATTTGGAATAGCAGTACATACACTATTAGTAAGGTATAACTTTAAAGCACTCATCCTTTCTCTCCTCCTCTTCCTCTTCCTCAAGGCTGCAGTGATAAGACCTCCTCATTCCCAGCTAGGACTGTTACTTGTGGAGTTGTGTTCACTTATATATTCCATTTATCATATCTGTCACTCAATGATCCTACCAATGATGGCCTCTTCATATTCTATATGATGATCACTATACTCTATGTGGTGATACCATTCATCACTACTGTCAGTAGGGTAGCTAGGCCCACTACTTCAGTGACTGTGAAATTACCAATAATATACACATGTACTTGTGTACAGTAGAAATGTTGTGTAGAAATGTTGAGGTGATTTTAAAAAATTAATTTTGAATTGTGGTCATTTTAAAAATAGACCAATTTTCAAAGAATACCCAAGGCTATATAGCCCATGGTTTTTTCTGAAAAATGGCTCCGAAATCACCCCAATTTTTTAATTATATTTTTTGATACATATTGATGTCCTTATGTTATGTAGAAAGTTTGAGCTGATTCTGACTTCAATTTTTCAAGTTACGGCCATTTTAAAGAAAATGCCAAAATTCTGAAAAATTCCCAAGGCTATACTATAGCCCATGGTTTTTCTCAAAAATTGGCTCCGAAATCACCCCAAATTTTTATTACATTATCTGATACATATTGATGTTCTTATGCTGTGTAGAAAGTTTGAGCTGATTCTGACTTCAATTTTTCAAGTTACGGCCATTTTAAGAAAATGGCAAAATTCTGAAAAATACCCAAGGCTATAGCCCATGGTTTTTCTCAAAAAATGGCTCTGAAATCACCCCAAATTTTTATTACATTATCTGATACATATTGATGTCCTTATGTGATCCCTTTCTTCTTATAAAGGGATCCATTCTTTCAAGCAGTTATTACCAAAGTCATCATCAGGTGGATCAGTTAGACTGTATGATCCTATTGGTCATGTGGCCAGTGACATTGCTACTAATGTCAGACTATTGTGCTTTGATGAGTTTCAAGTTAGTATTCAGTCAATACCTTCTCCTTCTCTCCTAATAATAATAATACCCATTCCTTTATACTCCTCCATTCCTTCCCTACATAATGTACATACAGTGTATGATGGCCTATCCTTCATCATTAGGTTACTGATATCACTGATGCTATGATACTTAAAAGTCTCTTCACATCATTATTTAATAATGGAGTCACTGTTGTAGCTACTTCTAACAGACACCCTGAGGGTATGTACTGATATACATGTATTGTTATTATTATTATTGTTGTTGTTGTTGTTGTTGTTGTTGTTGTTGTTATTGTTATTTATTATCATTGTTAGATTTATATAAAAATGGTCTACAGAGGGGTAACTTTCTCCCATTTATTGATGTACTAAAGGTACATGTACACATTATTAATTATTAATTATTAATAAATATTCATTTATTGATAGGATCATTGTACTATTATCCAATTGGATTCAGTTGACAGGAAGAAGTTATTATTATCTGAAGGAGTGTATTTAGTGTGAGTCAGTAGCAATTAATGAATCAATGACTTCATTTCTTGTTGTTTCTCTTTCTTGTACTGTAACTGTATGTCTACTGTCCAGTCCTAATTCAACTATCAATAATTCTAAATTGTTCCAATTATTTACTGAACTCTGTCAAAGCAAAGGAAAAGGTTTGTAACCACACACAGACACACACACACACACACACACACTGCACATGATGTACATGTAAATGTACTATAAGATGATAAGTTAAGCATTACGACCAATAATTCACTCATTTTTTGATGGGTAGGACGAAATTATGCTCATTAAACTCAGAATTAATCTTATTCCACTAACTGAAGTCTGACCCAGACCTTCTTTCTTAATTCCCTTTCTCTTCTTTTAGTTATTTCACGGACCAAGTTAAAGTTTTTAGGACGAGAGCTACTCATAGACCAGTCATGTGCTGACTTGGCATATTTCCACTTTGATGAGCTTTGTAACAGGGTAAGTTATTATAGTAATCATACTAATAGTATTAGTTGTGGTTGGGATTGTTTTCCCATTTATAATTGGTTCCTGTGGTCCCTGGGTAGTCATATAGACAAGTGTGATCAAGTCATCATTCTAGGAATGAGTGATTGTAATTCAATTAACTGGTTCCTGTATATATACTTTGTACAGTGACTTTATACTAGCACTAGTAATGATTTGTTTTTATTTGTGGTTTTACCAGTAACTACTAGTACACTACAATACACACACTC